AAAAAAAAATAGCAATTATTTAAAAAAAAAAAATGAATGTTGGCGGGATCGAAACCCAGCCGTCGGCGTGCTAGCCGAGCACGTTACCACTAGGATAACGCGCTCATTGTAATAATTATTTTCAATAGGAGTATATCTTTTACATATTGAATAATTTTTTTCATTTAAAATTCCACAAAATGTGGCTTCCCCCTTCCATTCGTTCTACAGGCGGCTAAATTCCAGTTAAACAAACGAAAAACAAAAAGCATTCATGCCGCAGAAAATGAAATTCACCCCAAAAAAAAAAACACCCCAACATTGCGTGGGGCGCCCTCCCTCTCTTGGGGTGCAGTACTACGATGCACCTGGGGTCACTCAAACCTCCAGAACTGAGCCTCTACATCAGTCAATCCTCTTTGATCCGGTCTGTCCCGCTTCGCATGTTTTCGATGTGGAAAATAGTGGATACAAGAAAATTATTATAAACCCGAGAATCTATGAACATTGATAAAAAAAAATATTAAGATGTTGGCGAGAATACCCCAGGGACCGCTGACCACCGCCTTCAAGACTGGGTAAATCGAATGGTCAATTAAATCCTCTATTTATCGCACTCTCACGTAACCCTCATGTATTTTAATCAATTAATGATAATAAATAAATTAACAAATTCCTGTGTTCATCCGAAAAATCCACCGTTTGATTCTCTTTTTTTTAAATTTCACCCAAGGTCAACTCTTCAGCTAATACCTGAAGAATGACGCAAGTTATCTCTATTATGATCTTATTTATGCAAATGAAATTATCAACGTTTGGAATTATTTTATCCAATTGCATATAAGTCGATGGGATTTTTGAATATCGATATTATAATTTGGAAGACAATTTTGTTTAATTAAAGGACTTATTTCTCTGTCTCAGATCCGGTCGCACAAAATGTGTGACCCACTGGCGAAAATGTTTCTCTTCAGAAAGCAAATCCCCGGAGGTGTCTCACAGTGTGACAGGTTTCCCTCCTCTATCGGAGCCTCTCTCGAGTCTTCCCAAGGCCATTTACTCATCTGCCAAAGAGGAGAACCAAACAACTCAGATAACAATCCTACCGAATGGCCTGCGAGTGGCCTCTGAGAACCGTTTCGGTCAGTTCTGCACAGTAGGTGTCCTCATAGACTCAGGACCTAGATTCGAGGTGGCATATCCCAGCGGAATCTCCCACTTTCTCGAGAAACTCGCCTTCAACTCCACGAGAAACTACGAGAGCAAGGACCACATAATGCTGATGCTGGAGAAGCACGGAGGTATCTGCGATTGTCAGGCATCGAGGGACACTTTTGTTTACGCAGCATCAGCAGAGCGTCAGGGTTTGGATGCAGTTACCAAAGTGCTGGGGGACATAGTCTTGCGTCCGAGAATCACAGATGAGGAGTTGAGTACAGCTGGACAGACAGTGGCCTTCGAGCTCGAGTCCCTGCTGACGAGACCTGAACAGGAGCCCCTCCTCATCGACATGATCCATGCAGCAGCTTACAGGGACAACACCCTGGGTCTCCCCAAAATCTGCCCACAGGTGAATATCGATAAAATCGATAGGAAAATTCTGTTTACGTACCTGAAGAACCACTACACCCCTGGGAGAATGGTTGTGGCTGGAGTGGGAATTGATCATAATGAACTAGTCAGTGCTGTGGAGAAGTACTTTGTCGAGGACAAGCCCATCTGGGAAGAGGACAATAGCCTGGTGCTTTCTGACAGGGGAGCAAATCTCGTAGACGAGTCTGTGGCGCAGTACACTGGGGGATATATCCTCGAGGAGTGCAGTATTCCTGTTTATGCTGGACCCAGTGGCCTCCCAGAGTTATCTCACGTGGTTGTGGGGCTTGAGGGCTGCTCTCACCAAGATCCTGACTTCATTGCCATGTGTGTCCTAAATATGATGATGGGAGGTGGAGGCAGCTTCAGTGCTGGAGGTCCTGGCAAGGGAATGTACACCAGGCTCTACACCAATGTTCTCAACAGGTACCACTGGCTGTACAGTGCAACTGCCTACAATCATGCTTATGCAGACAGTGGACTCTTCTGCATTCACGCATCATCCACTCCAACACACGTCAAGGAGATGGTCCAGGTGGTGGTGAAAGAGCTCGTTGCCATGGCTGGACCCATGACTGAGAGTGAACTCGCCAGGGCCAAAAAGCAGCTGCAATCCATGCTACTTATGAATCTCGAGCAGAGGCCTGTTGTTTTTGAGGATATTGGCAGGCAGGTTCTCGCTACTGGTGTCAGAAAACGACCTGATTATTTCATGCATGAAATCGAGAAGATTACCAGGGAGGATGTACACAGGGTTGCAAAAAGACTGCTCAAGTCACCACCCAGTGTTGTCGCCCGGGGAGAGATCACCAATGTGCCCACCCTTGGGGATATTCAGGCCGGACTCCTCGATATTCAGGGCAGGATGCCTGGCACCAGGAGCAGGCTCTCTCTGTTTCGTTGAGCCACTCTCCCAATTTTTCAACCCAATTTTTTACCGAATTGAGAATTCAGAGCGAAGAATTCGATAGCCCAATTAAATTATTTTGTTAATTATCGATTTGATATTTAATGAAAATAAAAGTCGACTCATCTCTCGCTTTACTACTTCGCTGCTGAAATGTGTAGAATCGTGTTGTGCAAATTCTTATTATTAATAAATTTGAGAGTATTTATAGAATTTGAGGACGAGTTGAATCGACAGGAATGGGTCACTGTAATGACACAAAATCGAATATGTAAATAAAATCTTGGTACTGATAAGACAACAGCAATTATTATTCATCCCTCCATCCCACTCTCTCCTGATAAAAAAAAACTCACCCTTGAATATCATCCCCCCAAGCGGATCGATATCCCCAACTGCGTGAGGGTAGAAGGGGAGGTGGAGGGTTTAGTTGCCACCTCTCCAGGGCTCCTGAATTCCTGCTCCAGGAAGCATCCCATTGTCGCAACGTCACATTACGTAACTCCGTACGTAGACAAGTGGTCTACGTCACCCAGGGAGCTTCAACCCCTCCCGTCCTTACGTCATCCCAAGAAAATTCGGAGTCGTGACGTCGAGGGTACGTGGAGCTTTCAAGCGACGCCCTCACCGAGGAGAGCATCACTAAATGCTGGTCGCTCTCGAATTCCGCCCCTTCCATCACCCCCTGTCATCCCTTCCCAAAATTACTCAATTACTCGGGTAAAATTCATTACCGGTGTAAATTGTCGACAGCGATGGTCTCTTTGATGGACGGTGAGCGATAAAAAAAAGGCAATTTCACAGTTGGCGATTTGATCGTCGAGCCGGCGCCTACGCTAATGCATTTAATTGCCTCAAACGCGAAGCATATTTCCGGACCAAGGACCCATGTCATTGAAAAGGTCGCCCCCAGGTCCTACGGCTGAATCCTGAGGCGGGAAGGGGGGCGGAATAGTAGCTGAAGTGCTGATGAAGCGGCCCTCCGTCGACCAGGGATTCATCAGAGATGGCCAGAAGGGTAAGCGCCACTTAAGAAGTCGAGGTGTTTTAACAGACAGGAGCGCATACAAAGAGAGGAATTATTCAAGGATATGATAGGATTTTCACAGAAATTCTCATTGTCCTTGGATCATTGGATTTGTTGAAGCTATTGCACAATGAGGATTCTACCCCGCAGACACCGGACTCGCGCAGGAAGTGAACTTTTAGGGGAGTAGGTACGAGTGGAGGTTAGTGGAATGTCCTCGGGTGCTCTCTGAGAATTTCCGCAGGCTTCACCATGATCCTCATCACGCATGGTGTTCGTGATAGATGCCAACCAACACGTGGAAAATCTTGGGAGTGTGCCAGGGTACTAGGACCATCGAGGATCTACTCGGGGATGTTCTTTCTCGAGGATCCACAGGCCTCTATGATCACCTGGTGCTCTCGGGTACTGGTTCAAGTAGTTCGGAGGGAGTTTGAGCGGCCGAAGGATTTTTCATTTGTCAAAGTGTCCAAATGGTGGGTTGTCAGGAGATATGGGAATTTCATGAGGGAGAATAATGCAGAGGACTTGAAACCATTTTGTACGTTGGGGTATCCGGGGATGAGGAGGGAGTGTGGCGAAATGGTGGATGTGTCGATGTCCTGCTGGGGATGTCTGGCTTCCTGGTCCTCCCGAGGGCGATAAGTATGCGTTTCGAGGAGAATCACTTTGTCTTACGTCCGTATCGGGGAAAACTGACCTCACCCAATCCTCACGAGTCCTCATTCACCAGCCCTGAAACCTCATTCATCGGTGGTGTTCTGTGAACTCGAGATATTTTCGGTCTTGAGACGGGAAAGAATTCTCCTTGAGCTGTCGAGGGACAGAAACTCGAGATTATTTACCCCCCAGAAATATTCTCACCATCAGGACCCCAGGAGTTGGGCTGATTGGTGAGTCCTTTTTCTCGAATTCCGCGCACTTTTCGTTGGGATAAGTATTCAGCGAATCAGGGGTGCAGGTGGATAGAGATTTTTCCAATGGGTGGGGGAGGATTTTAGGGGGTGGTAAAATTGCCCGATGAAGACCTCACGATAACCTGTGATAAGAGGGAATCCTGGGCACGTCAATGTCTCGTCACTCGTCAAGCGAGTGGCGCCAGAAGCATTCTCATCATCAGGATCGTAGAATCGACGGCAGCTCGACGGTCTCAGGAAATTCCTGCGCAGGTCTAACTCATTTGGTGGAAGATGAGGCTCCGCGTGGTCCTCAGGGAGGGTCTTGTCGGCTCAGGATAGCAGGAATTTTTTAGAGGAATTATTGCTATCAATTGAAAGAGAAATCGTTTTTGTGAAAATTTCACTAGGTCTATTAGATTTGGAAATACTCGACGAAAACGTAGCAGTCAGTTAAATCGGTATTGAATTGAATTTTTTTTTCTACTTTTCTGTGGATTTTTTGGTGAATCCCAAACGACGATTTTGCACTCCCCTCCTGGAGATCAAAGGACTAGGTAATTTCATTTGAAAACTCGCAGAAGCTCTAATGCTGGAGAATTGAGTTTGAATGATGGGCTAGCGTTCAACTTTAGCTTCAAAGCCTCGACTTGCATTTCTAGCAGGATATCAGGAATCGCTCGAAAGTGCGGAGGAATTGTTTGGGGGTGAGTTGGGGGTGAGTTGGGGGATTTTTCCAATGCGATAGGGGCACGACTTGGAGGCGATACCCATGAGGGAGGAACAGGGAAACACGAGGCGAGAAATTTCACAAGGATCTAGTGGCTGCGCTTGCGTGAGAGCATTTATATGAATTCCCTGATAACAGGATCCCGAGTCCTGATAAATTTATCATAAAATTGTAACTCAATTGGCACTGGACTAAAAAAATTAGAGTGACGTGCGATCGACAACGTATATTTACAATTTCTTACATTCTTTGATTTTATTTACAAAGATTAATCGTTTTTTAACGCACAATAATTACCAATATATTTGTGCTCTCTGTCATGGAGATTGACAATGACTGAATAACTTTTGACTGTTGGATATTGGAAAGAAAATTATTGCCTCTCTTTGAAATAATCTGTTTATTGCTTTCGTGAGAAATTGCAGATTTAAAATTTATACGTTATAACAAAACTATGTATTGACATTTTATAATTTATTTACAAGACTCTTCGATTAAAAAATGACCACACGAAATAAATTTCAGCATTTACGCATCTAATCTACTTTAGGCATCGCACACTGTCTTATTAGCATCTGCATCGATCTCAATTCATTGATCAACCCATTCTCACCCTACAACTATCCTAAAACTACCAATGATCTCAATGACTTGGCTTCTCCATCCACTTTAGACTTTTATTTCACCTTGCACGGCAAGTATATTCCATATACTACAATTTTATTTCTCAATCTCCCACCTGCCCTCCCGAAATTTAATCTTCGGAGAAGAAGAACAGATCAATCCATCATAGCAACAAATAACATTACTCCATAAAAAATTAATGAAAGAAATTCTTTTTAAAACACACAGATTTTCACTTTCCATACCTATATAATAGGTACATTTCAATTGTTGTAACTCCTCATTCCATAATAATTCAGTAGTCAAATGATAGAGTGAGAAAATTAAAATTTTCCAATAAATCGATAATTCAGTGAATAAAAATATTTTTTATTCGACAAATCTCACTTCATTATTCATCTACTGAATAATTTATCCGCAGAATGAAAAAATATTGAAATATTGCCCAAAATGATATTTTATTGCATCAAAAATTATTCCTCTGCGGGGAAAATCTCTCGATAGTACGAAAATTGATAGATTTACACATTTCTCTGGCACTATGTAAGAAATACTTGATTAATTTCTCATTATCGTCTCTCAGTGCAATCATATAACTAAGATAAAAAAAAAAAAATGCTAAACATCGGTTCGAGCCAAATTGATATTACATAGATTTATTTACAAGTGAAAATTTATTCAGAGCTGAAAATAAATGATTTTATTACCCTAAATAAATGTAATTACTCTTACCAGTGAGATCCTAGTGTATTTTCAAACGGGATTAGCTGCTGTGACAGCTGTCAAAGGTGTTATCGTTGGTGTTGGGGTTGAATTGGGAGTTACAGGGGGTGTGCTGGGCACTTGTGATATTGCTACTGGTGCTGTTGTTATTGGTGTCGTGGGATTTATCGTTGTTGGTATTGCTGGGGTGCAGGTGGATGAGAGAGAGATGGTGGTGGACGGTATTGGCTGGTGTGTCGTTGGTCTCGGTGGGGAGAGCAACTCTTGTCTGTCTCTCTCGCGCTCTCGACCAGGTCGCCATGCCTCCAGGAGAGCCTCCACCCGCTCCTCTGTCGGACCCCAACGAGCCGTTCCCGCTGCATTCTGCAGCCACACCACTAGGGTACCGTATGAGGCTCTGATATTCACTTCGGCTTTCGGCAAGAGATGTTGAAAGCCATGGCGGTACTCGTGCTCCATCGCCGGGACGACAACTTGTTTTCTCTTGAAGTGACTGGCCTCGAGCTTGATTAGAGCATTAGGCGTAGGATCTCTCCACTCAGGTAGAAAGACAATGAATGACAGGGGTTCTGTGGAATCGGCCAGGAGCCTCTCAAAATGATTCACCATAGCCTCCATGAGCTCCTCGCAGTACGGTGGATTCGCCTCGAAGGAGCCAGTCATGGGCCTGAAGTCCAGGAAGGGTCCTCTCGAACCGAAGTACGAGTCGGTATCCCCAAAGGCTGAGCAGTACTGTCTGAAGTAGCAATTGAAAGGCGAAGCGAAACACTCGAATGTCACGCCGAAGGACCTCTGAAGGCACTCGAAGACACTCACTGGGAGAGCCATCTGCGTCGCTTGACCCTCGTTCGGCCCCAGATACGTCTGGTACCTCTTCAAGGCACACCACACTCTCGGCAAGAACATCTCAAATTTCTTGTCGTCAAAGCAGTTGTACCGGTACAAGTGCTCCAATTTCGTAAGATGATGATTATTGATGCAGACGGTGTCACCATGGAATCGAAGCATTGTCTGCTCCCTCTCAGGGAGATACTCGACATTGGGTAATCTGGGAGCAGGCAGTACAAACTGTACGGGATAGCACCAGACCTTTCTCTGAGGAGGAGCATTAGGCCTGAGAATATCACTCAGCCCACTGTCCTTGATAATCTGATTGTTCTTATCCCTGACCTTCTTGGCGTACTCAGCAGAGAGATTATAAATCTTCATGCAAATACCCTCGACACTGCCTTTGACGGTCTCAGTGAGGTGGGGCTGGCACTGGTGCTTCAGGTGGGAGAGCCTGTCCTGGAAGTCGTCGAAGGTTGCCCCTACGGTTTTGCGAAGCCACTGAAATGTCTCCTCGGCATTCCACTTGACAACTTTTCTGCTCTCTGAGGAAGCCGCTCTCGATTCGATCATCTTCTTGGCAGCCTCTGCGTATCTCGACAGCTGTTTCCTCGCGTCTCCCGTGAACTTTGGCCGAACTATTTTAATGGGGATATCATTCATTATCTCTCGATACATCGACATAGAAATTTCTGGGAAACACTGGCTGGGGAGGAGGGGATCAGAGCCACAATCGATGACCTTTCTTTCCATCAGCCATCGATTAAATGAATCCTTTGGGGCATCTATGGACTCCCTGGTGTGACACAGCTCCTGGTAGCACTGGCGCAGCTTCGCCAGGAGGCTGCAACGTAGTGCCTCGACGTCCGGATGGATCTGGAAGAGCGTCGATTGGGCTCTCTCATAGATTATCACGTTGGTGCCGACCTCCAAATCCCAGGGACCTGCCAGGACAAATTTTTTTATCGCACCTGGACCCAGCCCTGGCACTGTCCCACCGTCCTCAGAGGCTCGACGCTTCAGGGGTCCACCTGGCGTACCTGGAGGCAGAGGACCGTTCCCTGGGACCACTGGTCCCCCTCCACAGATACCCAGGGGATCTGTTATCGGGTCAAATTGGGGTTTCAACGAGGGCATCACCCACAGGGATTCCCCTGTTAATTTATTCCAGAAGTATGGCCGATTCTCTCGCTTCGACCAGAAGCGCTTCCACCCCTGCTGCTGCAATTCTCCACTGAGCTCTGGCTCTGGAAATGTACTTGGTAGTACTACCTGGAGAATTCAGAACATTTTTTTCAGAATTAAAAAATTTAACATTCAAAACCTAATTAATTAATAAAATAATGATAAAATAAATGAATGAGAATGAATAATAATTACCTGTGCCATTGGTATGATTTGCTGTGGTACATGTGACATGGGTGGAAGATGCTCGACTATTCCCGCCGTTTGCGTAAGCGTTTGCGCCTGTAGTTTAACCGGCGTTGGTACGATTACCTGGCTAACAGCAGAAACTGCCTGCTCCTGCTGCATCATCGTCTTGTGGTGTATGAGATGGGGATGGGGATGGGGATGTGGATGAGGATGGGGATGGGAATGATGATGGTGCATCGTACCGCCAACTCCCGAAGTCTGGATATTTGACAGTGCGTCCCAAGTCGGTGTATTCGATTCTTCCTTTCCCCCACTCGCTTCATTCATATTTTTATCTTTAAATTTTCATAAATATCAATCACACAGAGCATCAAAAATATCACGCGGCGGAAAATCGACTCGGGGATTTTTTTCCCAGAGTGATTTTTAAGGTATCGCGGGTCGAGATGGTTTGAATTTCAGATCTAGATTCTCCCCCAGAGTTTGTGTTTGTTTACATACTAACAGCAGTAGTAGGAGCCGCAAATATCAATAATTATTGCCGGAATGGGACATTTTTAACTCGATTATTTATCGGTATTTGGTGCATTGTACTTACCACATTCGGTGGAAATCGTGTTTCAAGGGTATTTCATAGTTATTGCGACAGTTCAGTCATTATTTTCGGAAATTTGACGCAACAATCTCCACCTGTGAGACGCCATTTGCTCATACTCCTTTGCTCGTGTGGAAAAACGTGGGATACGGAGATGGTGTGGAGGGAAAATCTCATTTTATTCGAGGGAACTCGCGCGACTCCTCGACATCTGGCGGTCCACGTCGAACCGCCACTTCCGGGAGAAATGCATTTCCGCTTTTTGAATGAATTATTCTCTGAGAGTTGAATAATCCCCCATAAGGATTTTTTTAAGACTTTTCACATCAATTCTCAGAGAGAGTGATAAATTTTTTAATAAATTTTTTAATTATGATTACGTGGAAATACGCGATATGTTTTGCTGTCACCTCGACAGAACTGGACTGACGTACGAGCAGGTTAGTTCAGGTTAGTATAGGTTGCTACATGTCAAAAACACTACTGCTGTTGATAACGGCTGCTGAAGGAAGTGGAAGTCTCTGTTCTCCATCAACCCGTAAATATTTACATTCTCCTCTCCCCAATCTTCATTTTTTCATTGAAAAAAAAATCAATTTCTGCCCCAAATCTCTCA